AATGGAGAAAAATAGATGGCCAAGGAAAGCTTTTGAATATGCTATATCAAATAAAAGAAATTGAGGGATACCAACTACCACTTGGCTGGATCGAGTTGTAACAACTCTAAGGAACCGGGCAATAAATGAAGACGCTTGGAGAGACAGAAAAATGTGGCGATCGAAATGCGGGATGCGGCAGAAGCTGTAGGAGCCCCGCCTTTATATTTATGTATGTTACCGGCAAAGTATAAAATCGAGGCATTCTGTATAAAACCTAGATATTTTATAAAATAATTTGATTGATAATGATTTCCGGCAATGTATGCATTTTTTTTTATTTAAATCATTTTTTACAGTTTGCCTAGACATTTCATGGAATAACTAGGAACTTCATAGAATGCCCATGTAATATTAGGAAAAGTATTTATTATACTTTACTTTATTACAGAAATGTTTAACCTGACAAAGGAAACAGGAACATAAGACACATAGTTAAAGTATGTTTTAAAACCTATTGAAATGATTGCTAATCTTTAATTTAACGAACGAAACAGGAGCCTAACAAAAATTTTTCTAATATTATAATATAAAAGTATTTATTATCCTTAACCCTAATTACAGTCCAATAAACTTAGACGGTCTGATAGGGGGTGCAATTTTTGAAAAAAAAAACTATTTTTGAGACGCGTATGGAACATGCATCACTAACAGTTTGGAGGGTTGAGGTAAATTGTTGGATAGGAAATTTCATCAGCTTCAAAAATAGTCTCTAGGTATTTTTCCTAAAAGTCGTTAGTTTTGGATTTATTAGCAGAAAACTATAAAAATGCACGTTTGAGGGGGGTATTTTTTTAAACAATAAAGGATCTGGGCCGTGAAATATTAAAGTTACAAAGGCAAAATTGTTGAGAATATTATTTTCTACAAGCTGGAAAAAAAATTCTAAAAAAAAATAATTATAATAAACCACCCCTATTGCAAAAGAGCAATGGTGATGAGTGTGACATCCGCGGTTTTATACTCAGTGAAAAAATCAGCTAGCCCACATTTTTTTTAATGATATCTTTACTGGACTATTATAGAAATGTTAAACTAAATAAAGAAAACAGGAACATAACAGACAACGTTCAAATATGTTTCAAAACCTATCGAGGCCGCTTTTTACATTTATTTTTACAAAGTAAACTTGAATGGCATTTACTTGAACAAAGTGTCTTTTCCTTAACGCACGGACATCTCATTGATCCACAGTTCTTTCTGCAACTGCATCTAACTAATCATTGATCGGTTCCGACAGATTGTAATGTCGCAATTGACTGTAACGTAATTTCTTTATCAGGAATATCTTTAATTTCTAAGAACCTTTTCTGACACAATGTAAACTGTGATTTGGCATAGAGCGATTTAACCACTCCTTTTTTAGTACCGAGCTGGTACAGTTCATCGTCTGTTTTACTTATTACTATTGCTAGAACATTGCGAGCATCACCTCGTCCCCTATCAACTTCGTGCACTGGGACTCTGACCGTTGTACCGACAAATACTAAAGGAAATTTTTTATCACTATACTGTAACATTTTTTCTGCTTGTTGTTTTAGGTTTTCTTTAGCAGAGTAACGATTTTCTGCTGCCAGTAGCGTTTTCGAAACTAAAAGACATAACATCTCAGGCGCACGCTCTTCATCACATTTTGAATTTTCTGGTACAGCACATATTGAATGAATAGTTTGTTTACATGCTATGCAACTCTGAGTTCCAGTGGTTTCCTCAAAACAGACACAACATACACGAGTACTATCTGATGGCTCGTGACTCATATCTCCAATAACGAGTGGTTCGTTAGTTACATGCTCTGTACTTCACTCTGTATGGTTCGTTAGTTATATATTCTCTGGCTAAAGGCTGGTCCAGCGACGTTTTTGAGGTTGAGTTCTGAGCAGATTCGGTTTCATTACTATCTTCTTCGCCTTCAAGATTTTGCGCAACTTCCTTTATTAAAGCTATACCTACTTTTACTTTGCATCCAAAGGGAGCCTCGTAAGGTGTTCGTTTAATTCCGGAATGATAGGCTACATTTTTCATCAGCTGTACGAATCTTAATCCTTCATTATAATGTCCGTTGCTGTTATCTTGCATCCATGTAGTCCATACCTTGGTTCGCTCTCACAACAGTCCCTTGGCTCTGAAAATGTCTTGATTTTCCATTCACAATGATCAGTGAAGGCCAATACTGCTTCAAATTATAAATAATTTGGTTGGCGAATTCCCGCCCATTATCAGATTGCAGTATAGGGAGCGCGCCAATTAATGTAAAAATATCTAACAAAACATAAGAAACCTCTTTCGCCCGTTTCGATTTTAGACCTATTAATACAACGAATTTAGTTAAATGGTCCTGGTGAACAAATATGAATTTATAGTCACCATCTGGATGTGACTGAAAGTCGATCAAGTCTACTTGACGACGAGAATTAAATTTAGAAGAAATAATAGGTTTCACAACAATACCTTTTCTAACACCTTTTTGTTTTTGTTGACATGGTTCGCAAAGTTGAATATATAGTTCTATATCAGAATGGGTTACGTTTTTATATCGGCATGACAGTTCTTTAATTATACGATCCCTTCCCGCATGACCAATAGTGATAAGAGCTTCATGTAAAACATCGAATAGTTCACTATCAGAGACGTAGTAAAGTATGTTGCTCCCAGATTCTTAAACAGGAAATATAAGCTTAAACTCGTTAAGTTTAAGTGCGGACACGTACGAGTGACATGGACACGCGGCCCCTGAAGATGCCAAGTGATATTTTGGCGAAACGTCAGGCGAATGATCCTACTCCAGGGTCAAACAACGAACGGATGAACACCCAGATTACCACCAATACACATAGTTCCATCCGTGAAGGACTAAAACAAAACATTGTGCACCTCTACGGGGAGAGGACTTTCAACGATTTTCGACGCTACGAAAAACTCGCGTCCAAAAAAGCGACACATTTGTGCGATTTAATTTTTCTTATTAAGTGTCGCGACAGCAATGTGCTACCAAAATTTACCAAACTATCCCACCACACTAATACGAGGAGAACGAAAACCATTCTTACCCGAGCCAGCCAGGCCATACTAAGGGAGACTATTCATAACACCAGAAAGAATATCGCGAGCAATTTACTCAAGCTACACTTACAGCTAAGCAATACAATAATACTAGTCCTATGGGATATAGCAAATAACTTGACTTTCTGGCGTTCTGAAAAGGACAAACAACTGAAGAGAGAAAAACTAGAACGTAAGTATCAAGCTCTTTTTAGGAAAGATGATCACCAAATGATGACAAGAGGGCTGGGAAAAAACCGTTCACAACATATCGAGGTACAGCATGTCCCAGTCTGAAACAGCCGTTCTGCACAAGGGGTTCAACTTCGCAGTAGCACCCAAAACGATTCCAAAAGAAGAAATTATATCCGAGATAGAAACCGTCATTGACCACCTGGAATCGAACACTGGTGAAGAAGTGAGACAATATGTGACCCGCATTCTTAGAAAAGCAAAAACACCAGCTTCAAACATCACCAAGGAGGGAGAACGAGCGCTAATCTGCCTTAGAAAGAACAAGGAAATAACGATTCTACCAGCAGACAAAGGGAACGCCACCGTAGTCATGAATACAGAGGACTACAAAAGGAAGATGCAACAGGTACTGTAAGACAACTGCTACAAAAAGGTATCAAGGGACCCAACAACTTATTTGCAAAAACCACCAAAGCAACGATCAAGGAAGTTATCGAGAAAAGTCAAGCAGGTGTCCCAAACTTTACGGTTTACCAAAAATGCACAAGAACGACGTACCACTCAGAGCAATCGTAAGCGCCTTCTATATATATATATATATATATATATATATATATATATATATATATATATATATATATATATATATATATATATATATATATATATATATATATATATATATATATATATATATATATATATATATATATATATATATATATGATGATATATCTTGTATACTGCTATCTACTATTATGTATTATCTAAATATTTACCAACCACCGTAAGAACGCAACAGATCAAATTTAATCCATTTTGCAACTGATTTATATGACATTTATATGAAATTGGCGTTTCTTAAGACAAGCAATGCATCCTCTGCGATTTGCTCAGTAATGTTTTCCAATTTGGAGCTTTTTGTTTTAAGAATGAGTTTACTTTGATTAAACCTGTTTTTTCCTCCAATGAAAAAATTGCTGCTATCGCTCAACAATTGTGCCACGTTCTTGGTGCCAGTTATTAAACTTGTATCATCTGCATAGTTAAGTATTCGTCTGGTCAAGGAACAGGTCATTTATGAATATCACAAATCTAAGTGGTCCCAAATCACTACCCAGTGCAATCCCATACTCCTTCGGTAGCATTCCTGAATTTTTCATTTGTATTAACCACTACTACTTGTGATCGCCCTTTAAGGTCTGTGTTCAACCATTTAAGTGCATTGCCTCTAATTCCGTACCTTTCCGGTTTCCGTAGCAGTATATCTTAGTCTGAACAGTGGTAGGCTTTTGTTAGATCTAAAAATATTCCAGTTGCTCCTTACACTTTTTCAAAAAATTGCAGTAATGTTTTAACAAATTGGAATCTTGCTGTCTGAGTAGATCTTCCCTTCTAAAAAGGTTAATTAAACGTTTACCCACGGTCAGGTCAAATAGTTTAGAGAATCCAAGCAACGAAGTGATAGGCCTACAACTGACCAAGACTTGGGGATCACCCTTTGTAAATACGGGTTTTATAAGTGATATTTTTAACGCACTTTTAAATGAAATATAAGAAGAAATAAAATAATATTCGCTGGTATTATGTCTATACCAGTGCTGTGTTTATTTTCCCGATGTTATGCAGAGGAAGAAAAGAGAAACAACGCTTAGCCTACAGCAATGTTACTCATCAACCGCAGTCATTAGTCAAAAGAGACAGTCAAGAGATTAATTCAAAGAGTCGTTTATTTTACAAGTTTGCTTATAACGGATACAGATTAAGTAATCAATGACTCCTAAATCTTTTTGAGCTTCCGTCTACATGAATTGCGTATGGCGGGTGGCTGTTGGTTGTCAGGTAGTAGTCTCCTCGAGCCCTGAAGAGACAAACATGATAGAAAGAGATAAAGAGAACAACTCCAAACGCGAAGCAGGTGTAAGTCAAAAAATTGTGTACTAGTTCTACAATAAAATCAATTATTTGATATGAAGAACGTCTGCAAAATCACATGGATAGTGTAGGAAAAGATTGCCTTCATACCGAAATTATGTCTCCTTACCTCGTTTCCAAATTGAACCCACCCATGAGTGCCGTAGATTCGTTTCGGCAGTTTCCGTTGATATAATGGTCGTAATTGTCGCATTTAGTACTGACAAAGTTATTCTCCTTCCCAACGGACTCTGCATACAGATCGATAGCTCTCTTGTGGCTACATGCGGCGTCAAGTAAGAAACAGCCTGCTTGTACGGTGCCTCCGTTTGGCCAGAAATCTGAATGTCCCACGTTATAAGTAATTCCACCTAACCCCGCGTTGGTGTGGATGGCTTCCACGTATCCGGCGTCAGTGGAATCCAGTCTTCCGGTGGGATCGGATTTGGAAAAACCGATTCCGGCGGGATCTAAACCTATTATGTACGCCAGGGAGCCGTTGGTGCGAGCTCCAGCAGCTCCCGCGACATGTGCGCCCAAGCTATGACCCGCTATGGTTATTTTGGACAGCGAGTACTTGCCATCTGATACCATGTCCAGCATGAAGTCGCCTATAAACCCGCCGACCTGCCCTATGCTGTTGACAGCGGTTACGTATTCGGTGTTGGACCATTTTTCCCAACAAACTGCCACAACGTTGACGTCGTGGTAATTCAAGAGAGCTTCCTTGACTTTCACGGCCAGCGATCCGATTTTACAGAAGTCGATCCAACCGTGGACGAGAAAAAAGGTCTCGAGGTTCGCATCGAAGTGAGTTTTGGACTCTATAGTACGAGCTGCTTTGAATTCGACTCGGGTGCCGACAAGATCTGCGCGACTGTAGAACAGGTAGGTTATATCTGATGGTTGTACGGCATGGAGGTCTCGAATTTTGGTCGCTGTAATTTACAGGCACAAGCAAGGAGTTTAAGAGTTATCCTCGGCATGTATAAGTAATTATAGAGGATGAAAAATATGCACTTGCAAGTTAAGTTGACTATTCCCTTAAAGCTCTTTAGCAATCCACTTTTCTCTACCTGTTTAGATTACTTTTTGATTATCGTGCATGCAACCTACCTTGAATTGTCGATCCGAATGCGGTCGCCAAGAGGTATAGCAGGATTGATAAGGCACCCATAACGAACTGGTCGGAATTGCCAGTATATCCATTATCTGTATTACTTCGAACTTATAAATACTGCCAAATGTGGGACACGTATCCTACTAGTCTATCAGTCAAGGACGCGCGACAATTATAAACAAAAAACTGTTTACGTTTATTTACAATATTTCTTTACAAAAAAAAATTAGTCCAATTTGACCTGCTCGGGCTAATGAAGCCCAGTGCTCCCAAGTCCGTAAGGGAAAGACGCAGCCGTGTCCAAAAAGTACGTCCCAGAGAGCCTATAACAAGCAAGTAGAAATACTAAGAAATTGTGGAACTTCCATTGTCTTTAATTTTTGTTTACACAATCCGTGATCAAATTGAAACTAATTTTAAATCTAAGGCTACGGTGGTTTATATATTAGAGTAAAGCCACTCCGGGCATTTCCAGGATTTTACTGCACGGGTTTGGGAGCAATCGGATGTTTTCGGAGATATTTCCCACGATTTGAATTTTGACGTTTGTTAATTCTGATGGTCATATCAGTGAATGTATTCATGTTGTTTTGCTAAAATGTACCCAAAACTAACTGTCGTAGAAAAAGTATAGTATGCAACACGTCCGGTAAACTTTTTAAATCACTCGTTTATTAAACAGTCGCTCCGCTCGTGTCTAATAAACTAGTGAGTCAACTACCCTTTACCGCACTTGTTGCATAATATACTATTTCGAAACGCACAGCAAAAACTATTTATTATTCAGCATGGTTACAAATGGTCAAAACTCAAGAGATATATCAGAAAAAAGGAAATATACCTGGCACACACTTGCCTTGTCACTCAAGCAAGAATGAATTTGTTGTTAATGACTTTACCCAATAAAAATAGGTAATAACATAGTTTTATTGGAAAGGATCCATCGAAAGCCAATACGATACAAAAACTAGAAAAGAATCATAAGCAGATAATGGATAAATGGACCAAATTAATAAATTTGAAATTATTAGTTATTCTTACTATAGTTCTAGTTAGTTCAGTTTTAATAAATGTTTTTAATCTGATTTTACGTAATGAAAGTTTTCTACTATTAACTAATCATCATTTTTTGTGAAACTGTTGCGTTGAGTAAGGATGTTCATAATAGAAATTTTATTTAAAAAAAACAGCATCGAGCATACCTGATTGTGTTCTTAGATAACACCCATTCTTTTTATAAATAATTTTTAAAATCCACTTTTGTCAAATGTTGATTCTCTCTAAATATTTGTTTGTCAAAATGCTAAAATTCCATAATTTAAATGCTATTGAACATGCGCATGGTACTAGGTTTTAAGGTGCCCTAACTCTAAAATCTGAAAATTGGTAGAAGTGATATAAGTTTGATCGTGATATATTCGGAGTGGTGGGCCCACCTCCATTACTATCAAAGATTACTCTAAGATACTTACTAAAAGATTTGACGTCAAAGTTACTAGAGTTGCATCGTCTGCAAATGCGATAGGGCTCGCCCCACCACCTTAAAAATGTCATGAATATAAATAATAAAAAAGAATGGGCCAAGTGACAGTTTCTTGGGCTCCGCAGGTGAATTCTAAAGGATCACTCAGAAAACCATTTATTTCCACATAGTAATTTTAAATCTACTCTTGAAAAACCAATATTTTTTATTTTTTTTAATCAATAATGAGTGGAGGGAGGGATGGGACAGTTTTTTCTAATGAATCGTATACTTTTGAAGTAAGAGCCGCCACTGCGTCCTCTGTCGATCTTGCCTACCCGAAACCATATTGCTGTTCTGATAAAGTCTTATTAGATTCGAGATGTTGTTTCAGAATTTTTTCTAAAATCAAAAATAAATTTCTAATAAGTTAAATTGTTCTATAATTGGAATAGTTTGATTTTCACCTGTTTTAAAAAGTGGTTTAAGTATAGCTTTTTTAAATGATTCTGGAAAAATGTTAATTTTTAATAGATTAATTGGTTTATTAACTGAGTGAAAGGTGCTTTGATATGTTCTCAAATTTATTTTAGAGTTTCTGATTTTTGACCATCTAATCCCAGCATTTGTCTAGGTGTTAGTGAGTTAAGTGCTTTTAGTGCGTCAGTTGTATTTGTACTTTACAGTTCTTATCTTATCTTATCTTAATTCTAAATCGAGTGATGCTTCGTCACTGCATATGATTGCTCTTTGCTTGCATGAATTCCAATTAGGTTGCTTCAGAATGGTTACTTTGTTGTTGGTTTAAGATGATTAAGAAAGGAGTATAGCTGTCTATTGTTACTCAATCTCAATATCTACTAAATGCCAGGAGTTATTTAGGTGTTTCTCCTACGGGTAGCTGGACTAGTAGTCTGCAGTTGATAACGGCCAATAATATATCTGCCCGAAGCGTTGTGTAAACAAAAAATAAAGACAATGGAAGTTGGCCAATCTCCTAGTATTCCTACTGAATCATTGTCTACTACCTTCAAACAAACTATGGCAAACAAGTTACAGCATCGCGTCATGGTGCGATGAGTATTAGATTATATCGCTTTCAAGCGCTTGATTATGCGGAAACCAACCAAATAATTAAATACTCACGAAGTGTTTAGAAAAAATCCACCCATCACGCCTACAGGGTTATCGCTGCAGCTGCCGGCCAAAAATTCCTCGTAACTCCCGCACCATCTACCTACAAAGCTATCGTCGACGAGGGACTCGGCGTAGTAGGAAACTGCCCGGAAGTGGTCGCAAATTCCCACTCCATCGGAACAGCCTTTCTGGTCGTAACCTCCGTTCACCCAGAAATCGGAGTTGCCGACGTTGTAGTTGTCTCCGAAGAAGGTAGCGTCGGTATGGATGGCGTGCACGTACCTCGCGTCGGTCGGATCCAGCCTGTTGGCTGGGTCATTTTCCGAATATAAAGGTCCGGCTGGATCCAAACCCACTATACGTGCTATAGACCCTTGGTTTCTTGCACCCGCGTAACCCGAGATGTGCGCACCCAAACTGTGACCCACTACGGTAAATTTTTCCAGAGACTGGCCTGTGCTGCCGCTCAGTTCAGCAATGAAATCCCCGACCAGACGTCCCACTTTAGGAAGCGCCAAAGTGGCAGTTATGTACTCGTTTCTCGACCATTTGGTCCAGCACACCACGAAGATGTTGACTCTCTTACCACCCGTGAACAGGGCCGGTTTTACGCTAGTCGGTAGGAAACCGGTATGGCATTCGCCCAACCAGCCGTGGATGATGAAGAAAGTTTCGGAATTGACATCGAAAGTCGTTTTGGTCAGTACTTGAGAGGCTTCCTTGTGTACCAACGGCACACCGGGATCGAGTTCCGAGCCGTAGAATATGTAAGAGACATCGGAATCTAGTACGGGTACTAGACCTAGATCCTTCAAGGCAGGAACCAACGGACCACTCGATACTATTTCCAAAAGGCCAGCGACCAACTCCAGATCACCTGGAATTGAAAATGGAATTTAATCTACGTTTTATGAATTATTGATTATGCTTGAAGCGACGATTCTAAAAATTATTATAAAATATATGTGATTTTGTTGGTGGGACTTTTGAATGGTCGAAAACTTTTTCAATAAAGAGCCAACAGTACTTTGAAAATATTGACTTTAAAATTTTACCTCGAATTTGTTAAATATTTCAATAGAGGTAGCCCACGGTTCGATAGTGGGTCCCAGATATATAATGGCGGTATTATTTGCTCTACGGCTCGAGACAGTCATTGCAATACACTTGATTCTTCTTCTTCTTCTTTCTAGCATAGATATCATATTAGTAGACTACTGCCTGTTCATTGCCCACACGTCTTCCTTGAGATCTTTTCCCTACTGGGTTGTTCATTTTTAGGTTCTTGTCTTGTATTCCGCACTGCTGTCTGATGTCCTCATTCCATATTCTGTCATACAACATTTTACCCTTTATAGTTCTTAATATTTTCATTTCAACTGTACTCATCATTTGTACAGTTCTGTTTGTATCCATTCTTGTTTCTGCTGCGTATGTTATAATGTGGGTCTTATAACCGTTTTAAATATTAATTGCTTGATTGATTTTGCTCTCCGTATTAAAATATTTATTCTTCCACAGAATTTTAAAATTTCTTTTAGACATCCCGCTATTAGAGCCGCTTTTATTGTGTGCTCTCTTACTTTGTTGAGAAGGCTTCCGTTACTCGTTGTTGCTGCACCCAAATATTTAAAGTGATTTACCTGTTATTACTTTTGAATCTATTTCCAGCTTACATCTTATATGTTCTTTGGTTGTAATGTAATGTAATGTAAGCATTTAGTATTCTCGGTGTTGATAAGCACGTTTAATTCTTTTGCTTTAGTGTTAAAAGAGTGTAGTAGTCTTTGGAGATTATCTTCAGAATCTGCAACAAGAACAGCATCGTCTGCGTAGCAGACGGCATTGAAGAATGTGTTTCCCATTTTAAATCCAGTTGTTGTAGCAAAGTTTTCTATTATTTTACCCATCAATAAATTGAATATATATGGGCTGAGTGAATCGCCTTGTCCAATTCCTGGTTTATATTTATATCTTCAGTTGTCGTAAGTCCAACTCTGATATTTGTTCTATAATGGGTGTTTATTTATATCGTGTATTAGGTTAATCAATCTATGTTTTAAACCTTCCATTCTCATGATTTCTAGGAAATCCTTCAAACGCACTCTATCGAAAGCCTTGGTCATATCGACAGAACACATATAAGCAGGTTTATTGAATTCTAATGATTTTTCGCATATTTGTTTGACAATAAATATTGCATCAATGGTGGATCTGTTCCTTCGAAAACCTTGTGGTTCTTTTCGTATACTTATGGCTTTGGTGACTACTCCCAGTATAATTTTTGTGAATGCTTTGAGGATGCTATTAATGCTTCGATAGTTTTCTGGATTCGATTTCTGTCCTTTTTTGAAGATGGGTATTTTCATCCTGTTCTTCCAATCGTTCGATATATTTTGTTCATCTATGATGTTTTTAAATAAAGTTAGTATTTCATTCTGTAGTTTTTTCCCTCCGTATTTAAGCATTGTATTGGTGATCTCGTCTGGTTTAGGGCTTTTCCTTTTCTTTAGAGATTTGAGTGTATTTTCTAGAATGTCATAGGTTAGTTCTATGCTGTTGTTCTTATCGTGTCCATTTTGTGTTTATTCCATGTCTTCCTCTTCCTTAAATAGATTTTTAAAATATATTTCCCACTGGTTCTGGTGTTATTTTATTAGTTTGTACAGTCTCTATGACTTGGCTTGTTTCTTCTTAACATCCCCCATATTTTCCTTTGGCCTCCATACATGTCACTCTCCATTTCTTTTGAAAATTTTTCGCAGTGGTTTTCTTTTAGTTCTTTTATTCTTCCGTTTACCTGGTTTCGTTTTCTTCTATAGTTGTTCCAGTTTTCTGGTGTTTTGTTTCGTACATATTTAATGTACTTTTTTTATTTTGTTGTGCTAGTTCCGTTACTTCCGAAGTAAATCAAGGTGATTTATTGATTGTGTTGACATTTACCCGTCTTTTTCCCACTGCTTCCATGGCGGCGTCTAATATGTTGTTTTCTATTGTTGTCCGTTGTTGGTCTGTACAATCTTGAACATTGATTAGTTTGTGTATTATTTTTTTGGTTTAATCGGTTTTCATACAGTTTTTGAACACCCTTGTCCTCTATCGATTAGACGTTTGTTGTTTATATTTTCGGTCTATCAACAATTGATTAAAAAAATTAATTGTTAGCTTTGGTTAGAGTTAGAAAAAAATTGTCCTAATAAAATAAACTAATTCTTGCTTGTATTTGATTATGACAAATAATTATATATTTAAACCAAATAACACATTAACATAATTTTGCTTAGTTCATTATTGCAAGCAGTTGTTGCTTTTACATTTATTAAAAGCAAATAAAATGAGTTTAAATACAAATAACTCAAACCATTTGTTCAACAAGGACCGCCATCAATGTCACTTCGTTATCACAACGTCTGTGCCATTGTATCTTTTGTCAGCGCTGACGACGGGGTTCTAGGTTTTTGAAAGCAAAACCGTAACAATTATTTTGAAAATTGAAACGTTTTGGTCAAAATGTGCCGTGGCTCATTTGTGGCCTATATGGCCTGTATACAGGGTAAGTACTTATACATTTTTTTTAAAAATTGCGGTATACTTTTCTTTTATCACTATTTAAGTAACATTTCATTTTATTTAAATTAATAGCGGTTTATTGAAATAAATAATTAGAAACAATAAAAATTTAATTGTCAGAGCAAACTAGTGTCTATTCGGAACAAACTTGATAGGGATTAAAAATAATAAGTGCATATAATTGTGATTCAAGTCATATATACCTATAGCACTAAACTTGGTGCATTGTCCTAAAAAGATTAATTGTTATAGTTGTTGACTCCTTTTGTATTTTACAGGCATCGTAGCGAAGATGAGTCCCCGAATTAAAAAAATATATTGAAATTCTGTATATATTACGTGTTTGAAAACATTTTTTTAAAGTTAATCTTTTATTTATTCTTTTGCTTAGAGATAGGGATAGGGTATAACAATGTATTAAAAACGATAATACAATCCAAACTCTCAGTAAATTATAATTACTATCAAGGTATTAGGAGCCACACAACGATGGAGAACTAAAAAACATAATATTATAAAAATCAAACAAAAAACTCTACCTAACTATCCTTATAATGCAGGAGCTATAAAAAAAATTTTGCTCCGCTGCCTCTAACACCTTGCCCAACTCAAAACATCTTAACTTTCCTAAAAATAACTTTTTTGATGTAGTTGAGAAAGCGTACTTGCACATGTAAGTGATCGCATTTTTAAGGCTTACGATGATAACAAAATTACTGCCTTTGACAAAATAAATAATAAAATCCTCATTGGAATACTTCATCACATAGGGTCTAGTGAAGTGAAGATTAAGCAATAATCTCCTTAATGGGCTTTTACGTTTGGGAATTGCCTTTTGTTTTTATTAATGATGAGAACAATAAAACTAATTATTTTTAATTATTATTACACCTTGTATGTTTTACATTTAATTCAAAAAAACAGAAAATTATATTATGAACGTGTGGGAGCGCGCATAAATTTTTGTAAATCGAAATTGGCTTTCTGTTCTCCTCTAAACTTTTTAATAACTTCCAAATCTTCAGAGCTTTTCAAAGCTATGTAAAAAACATTTCATTAAAATTAAATTAAAACTTTTTCTCGTATGGAAGATTATTTACAAATTGTTACATAAGATCTGGACCTGGACTGCTCCAGATTTTTATTTTTTAAATTAAATGAACTGTCTTATTTTTTACTTCATCATATTCACTTTAAACAAAATCTCACCATCGAGTATATCTTGGCACACAGCAGTCGCAAAAAAAACGCCAAGCACACACAGAGGCATCCGACCCAACATTTCTACACACAAAGATCTTTTGTCTGTGGTAGAGGTTTTTTACAGCATTTATAATGATTCCAAAATTTTGCCTAATGCCCGAACAAACGACGCGATTAAATTTGCAAATAAAGCCAACAATCGGTTTGATTAAGTTCAGACGAGGACACGAGTGCATACGAGATATAATTAACACGAAATCTTAACACTAGCGAAATAACTATCCACACGTGAGATAACGCCTTAAAACTGAACCTTGATAAGACCCAACACCTCGAGTAAAAAGACTGTTACGAATTGTACTTCAGCTAAACTCATTTGATGAGGTCGTGGTGCAGTTGCAACTAAAAAGGTTGATTGATGATAAGTATTTATTTATAGTAAATCATACTTTATTGCATTCTTATTTTAGCCACGGAGCAGTACCGTGGGAATAATAATTCGTCTTCTTGTGGCTTATCAAAATTGCAAAAACAAACGATATAAACTATCGGTAGAAACGGCTACCGTGATCATCATCAGTCATGTTTTATAAGAACACACATTATGCAATTGCCCTGTTGGGTTGTATTGCTTCTTAGATAATAATTAATGTAAACCCCAGATTCGTTTTTTTTTTGTTATTTAATTGTGTGTGTTTTCGATGTTTTTGTTGTTTGCTGCCGGTTTATACATATAATGATAAACATTATATTACTTGTGAATCTTTGACTTATAAGAATATTTTACCGTATTAAGCATATAATAAAATATGTCAGTAAATTTTTTTATGGTCGCGAGCAACGCAGAGGTTTCATACACTTCTAGAACTTTGTAAACTGGCATTGTATATTTCTTGAATATATGCCAGTAAAAATAAAAAATAAAAGAATCTGCAAGAGAAATCAAGATTCTTTTTTTTTTCATATACATAGGTCCAAAAATGTTTAGTTTTTAAGATACAGCGTGTCAAAAAAGGGGTTTTAATAACTGTTTTAAATATTCCTTGACGAATCTTGTAACAAGAGGCTGAGTTAGAATTTATTAAACTAAAATTATGAATTGCAGTGACATCCACAGAGGCATCTGCTCCATTGATTTTTTAACTCTTTTTCAAATGAAGCCACCAAAAAGGCACCTTTTTTGCCTCTCTATTTTTTTTTCGCATTTTGCTTCATTTTCGAAAAAATAAAATAAAAATCAATTGATTGCATGATTGACAACAAATTCTAATCGTTTTTTTATGAATAATTTTAACAATCTATCCAGATTCCTTAGCTGTTTTATGTGTAGTGATAAGGAAAACTTATCCCTGACTAGATTAAAAATTTTAATTACAGTTCATTTTTGAATATGAAGAAATATTTATGAAAAGTGTTGCACCCTCTCTCTTAAAAACTATGCATTGTCGGAGCCATGTTCCTGATATGAAATTTATGTAGGATCATTAAATTAAATATTGGTGAAACTTTGTTTGCACGTGCCACCTGCTTTTTTTCTTTTTGCAATACAAAGGCTTGAAACTTAACTGCAAGTTATTGCTACCGGTGGGTAGTGATCTTATTTTTTATTTTTTCAGTTATTCTTGGGATCTTATTTTTTTATATTAGTTCATTCATTATCCTTTAATGCAGTTGTCGAGTCCTTTAAAGTAAAAATTAAACAGCTTTATTTAAGTGCCTATTTTCTTTAGATAGCATGTTTCCCAAACTCCGAACCTCGCAAGAGAGACTGTTCCATTGAGTCCCTTTGGACGGATAATTTCCGCATCAATACTTAGTTCCCAGTGGTACTTAACAGTGCCTTATACAACTTTTAATAAAAAAAAAACAAACACGTGTGACTCTCTGGTTAATAATGTTTGAGACCTTTACTCGTGAGTTTATTCATTAAATTCTTATTAGTATAAATTGGATTATAACTTCTAGGGGAGCTTAAATTTTTCTGCAGTTAAATTCTTGACCCTTACCTTTAACAGAAGCTCCAGTGACGGCTGACAGGAGAAGCAGAAGCGGTTCCAGGTTCATTGCTGACATATCGTTGCCTTAATTCACATTTCTATATCTATTTCCGAATAAATCTTGACGATTGAATATATATACAAAAGTCCTAACCATATTGCATTTATATATTCCTGCCAGTTTGGTGATAAACGTTAATAAATTCACAAAGTAAATATTTATGGTTTTCCTGTCCTTTGATAACAGCATTTTTCTCTCTTGCAATAATTTATGCTAAGTACCAAGTACCTAGTTGATTGCCATATTTAGGGCGCTGACCAACTTTTTTTATTTTTTTTTCTTAAATAAATGTACGTAACATTTCTTGACATAAATAAATTAAACTAAAAAACAAGGTAACAAATGCATGGTCACATTTATTATTATTCCTTATAGGATTGGGTAAATGATCTTATCATTTAAATACATCAAACAGACGACCACCGCGATAAAATAAAGTTTATAACATTTAACTTAACCGGTGCGAAAGTCTCTCTCCTTCAGTTGGTTGTCAAAAAAATGAATGCTGTAGATACATTCCTAATTGTTTCAGCTGACACTGACTACTTAATCTGTGTGATATATACAGGGCGACCCAAGAGTAAATTCTTCGATCTGTCATGGGAAAACTGTAAACAACAAAATTTTGAACAGAGCAATCCGAGTAAACTATTTTCAAGATGGCGTCACATCCGGATATACCGGAAGCGCGTGGCAAATAAACCATCTGTCATTTATAATATCCTACGCCTCATGAATCTACAGTGTGTCCCACTTAAAAACTGTAAACCGTTGTAAAATCTTTGTTTATGGTGCGATTTTGATTTCTTTTTGTTGGATAGGTCGCTGAAAAATGCACTAAAACCTTGTTTTGTTTATTGCTTCAACTTAAAGTCATGGCCAACTCAGACTATTTAACAAAAGAGAGAGAAAAGAGAAATACTATTGGGGATTTTTTTAAAAATAAATTGGCAATGAATGCTTATTCGGGAGTACTTAAAATACAGGGTGTTTGAAATATCGTTTGCGCCCCGCTGAAGGTTGTACATCGTTTTGAAATCTTTGATTACGGTTTGAGGTTAATAATTTTTTGTGTTCGTCATTTGTCATGGCTATTAGGGATTTCTTTAAAAATAAAGTGTCAACGAAATCTTTTCATAATTCTTTTTTGTTAGATAGATTTCACTGAAAGACTAATCATTTTCTTAAAAACAAATATGATCAGAGAGGATCAGATATGAACTAAACAGACTTTACAAAGCTGCATTTTTTTAATTAAAAAGGAAATATCAAATTTGATTGACGTCGGCAGACTGTTTCCTTTTTAAAAAGTTTGCCATGGAGAAGCGAATATTCGATAGTCAAATTAATATTTTAATTTTGTTTACATCTTTCGAATACTAGGATATATTAATTCTGCTGTTTTAAGATGATACTAAAAATAAATGTCCCAGTAAAGTCATTTTTATCTTTATTTTTTAAATTTCCCCAATTAAAATGTGTAAGATCTTAAAATCGCATACAATATTTATTTTTTTAAAACATTAAATACTTTGATCATTGTATTAGTTACTTTTAGGTCGTCCTGAACACGAATCTGTTATCATTTTCCATTTGAAAAAATCTCTAAAAGTACTTCTCGATTTTCCGCTTCAAAAAACTGTGTCAGCTAACGATATTTCGAGCACCCTGTATTCGAACTTCAAGGAAATTAGTATAGTTAGGTTTGATCCCTAACAGCCCTTCTCGATATTTAACATCCAAAATTAGTCCTATTTAGCCATGACTTCAAAAATTGGTATAGTTCGGCTCTAAGTACTCCTGCATAAGAATTCGTTGCCAATTTACTTTTTTTAAATCCCTTCTCTTCCTTTTGTAAAATAGTCTCAGTTGGTCGTGACTTTAAATTGAACCATTAAGCAGCACAAGGTTCTGGTACATTTTTCCGAGACGTATTCAACAACAAAAAAATCAAAATCGACCCATAAACATAAATTTTACAATGGTGTACAATTCTTAAGTGGGACACACTTTAGGTTCATTAGGTGTAGGATATTATAAATGACATTTGGTTTATTTGACACATGCTTATACTCGGATGTGCCGCCATCTTGAAAATAGTTTACTTAAGTGTCTGTCTACTGTCTAACTACGCCTTTTCTGAGATATTGAACATTGAGCATGTTATGTTTTATTATATTTCATTTTATTTTACTTTTTCATCATTCGAATTTGATTATTACTTTATGGAGAGTGTCACAGAATTTTAACCAGAACGTTTGCGATGCATTATCCGCAAAAATGGAAACCATCAGTTAAGAAGATTCGGAAGAACTCTCAAAATGATAAAGATTTGAATTTAGTTAAAGCAATTAGTTAAAACATTGAATACTTGACGATGGAATTTTAAAAAGAGCAAAATTAAAGAAACTATGTTTTTCAGTATATATTCAAACTGGCGCAATTAAACTTCAGTAGGTTTTTCGTATGGGAAAAGCAATGATTTAATTAGGATATACATTTCGTTGCATACAGTCTCGTTATTGTACCTAGTATAAAAAAATCGAACACTGACAAGTTAGGGGATCGAAGACGCCAAAGAAATGGATCATTGTTAGCTATAAACTTGTAAACTGAATATTTACTGATTTTTTTTATACTTTACGTACCATGAAATGTATCAAGAATTTTCGCGGAAATTCCAAAAAAGTTCGCACAAAAATCCGAATGCGCCATCGTATTGAAATTATTTTGGCCCTATTGACCCGAACAACATTGGCTAATTCAAAATTCTGAATTTGGAAATGGAGATGGAGATGTTCGGTAGAAGGATGACTAATGAACCTGTACGGTTGCAGGTCTTCCAATCCCCAAGACTCCAATATCACGAGCTGAATCTCGCTCTACCATTAACATACCATATTGCAAATATTCAATAAAAAAAGGTAATGCAAATTTTTCATAGCTTTCATAGTGCTAAAAGAGTGTTAGTTGTTGGTAAATATTTAGAAATAAATGATTTCTTGTATTTTTTCTTGAATGAGGAAAAAAGTTATATAAATAATAATATAATACTAGTATAATTAATTTACAACAAATTTTAAATGCATAAAAACAACTATTTAAATGTGCGTTTGATATTGAACGCAAAACCTTGTCTTCATTGCAGGATTCAGTTGTGAGTTAACACAATAACCAACAGGAGTAAATTTGTTTATGGAATAAAAGAAGCAATTATTTATTATGATTTTATTCATCACTGCCTATTAAAATCACATCTTATACTTTAGCATATATTTTTCAAAGTTTCCAACAAAAAAATAACACAAATGTAGTTCAAACATGTCGAGGAGTTTGATTACGCAGTTTACCGCTGAAAGTTTTCTAATAAAAGCTAGACTCATGATGAATTATTACTTACATACTAGTAGAATATATCTCTTTTAGTTCGGTTAGCTCAGTTGAAAAGTATATTCAACCCGCGAGCTTCCCCCGTGATAAATTGCAGTTTAAAATTTGTTTTAGTCTGTGAAAATCCGCGAGTAGAAAATGAATAACCGCTTTATTTTTGCCGGGTGAGAGTACCTTAGAAGCTTAATTAGTCGGTTGGTTCAGCTTTGAGATAGAGTGTTTATTTTTATTTCATATTTGCGATTACTTTACTTTGCTGTTTTCCGCGTGCGTATGGCGAGTTACTGTTGGTTGACAGGTAATAGTGTCCTTTAATCCTAAAAAAATAACATTTATTATTACTAGCCCTAACAATTCTATAAGTAAATGACTATATATATATAAAGACTGTTTATAAGAGGTTTTTAAGAAACCTTATAATTTAAAGCAGTTTTAATAAAGCTTCATATGCTGTAAAACTTCCAATATAGACTAAAACCATTCCGTTCAGTTTTATTACATTCTGAAAAACCTTGTTATAACATTTTTACTCTTGTGGTATTATAACTGACTCCAAAACAGTTTTAAACACTGTTACCGGCGCCTTAAATTACAATCAAAATAAAATAATTATTCAATAAGCTTGATATTTTGTGGAAATCATGTTAAGTTTAAGTAGAAAATGCAAAGGGTCACTGCAAATATACTTTTTATTTCTTTCAAAATTGTTTAATTGTTTTTGCTTCAACAATGACTTTTGGTATAGGGTTAAGGCTGAATACAGCTATATATTGCCTATCTTTTAACTTTAAGGCTTTTGAAAAATTAGTTTTAAAGTCACTTGCATGTATATATATATATATATATATATATATATATATATATATATATATATATATATATATATATATATATATATATATATATATTTATATATATACATATACATATACATATATAAATAAATAAAGAATGAATTATAAAATAATTATTCAATCGAAGGACTTCGGAAAAACAGAAGTGTCCTTAACGGTCATTCCAAGTGTAAGATTTTGAGGCTATCTGGCGGTGATTTTAGGATAGTCAGAATTCTTTTCACAGGTTATCACAGTGAGTTGTTTCAAGCCTTAATTTATTGATCAAGATTGTTTTTAAATTGATTAGTGGATGTTTATTATATAGGTTAACCATTAAGACGATTCGAACAAATCACTCTACTTTGAGAAAAATTCCTTCTTAGTAATGTGGCACATTTTTCTTTAGAAAGCTGTCTGGCATATATGAAATATGCCGAGGTTGTATTTGTATTGACCACTAATAATATTGTATACCGTATGTCCTATTAAATTAAATGGAATAGAGTAACTAAGTTTAGTTTTTAAAGTCTGGTTTCATTGGACAAGTCCTTTAATAATGCAGGTATTTTAGTGACCCTATACCCTTTTCAATTCTGTGTCATTGACATAGTATGAACTTATATGGCAAGCTTCTATGTCAAATCCCTATACCTCAGCATTCCAGTAGAGGAGACCTGCTTAGAGAAAAGAACGAAGCACTTCCGCCGTATATAACGGATCTGTCAAGACCTGCCTGAAAAATGCTTATTTTACGTACAACGGGAAAATATATCGACGAGTGGATGGAGCAGCCATGGGATCATCTCTCTCACCTGTGATTGCTAACCTTTTCACGGTTTACTTAGACAAAAAAGCAATAGAGACTGCAAATCTTAGGCCAAAACTATGGACAAGATTCGTTGATGACGTATTTGTTGTATGGTCTTTTGGCAAGCTGCTGAAATTCCTAGACCATCTGAATTCCGTTCATCCAAGGATTCAATTCAAAATAGAACTTGAAGAGGATAACAGTCTGCCCTTTCTAGATGTGCACATCACAAGGACCGAAGATGGACACTTGGAACAGAGAAAACCAACAAGAAAACCAACACACACCAATATATATCTGAACGCTGAGTCTTACCACCACCCATCACTTATACAGGCAGTGGCAAATACTTGGTCTGGCTCGGTCCTTCAGGCTTACGAACGAGAAGAACAGAGATGATGAACTGAAGAAAATTAGTCCCGCTCAAGTTTCTTTGTTAAAATTAGCCTTAAGTGTTAATAATTTTGTACTTCTTTCAGTTTAACATCGTGCAAAACATGTTTTGTTATTTTTTTGCTTTATGTTTTATGTTTTTATGTTTAACACAACAATGTATAATAACTATTTAAATCCTCATTTACACATTTCTAACGGTCTTCTTTATTTCTTGCTGACAGAACTAGTACCGCATCATCAGCAAAAACAAAATATCTTGGTGTTAGTCCCAAATATTGAAAATTTTGTATATAATGTAAATACTTGAAATGCAGTAAGCTGCCTTTTTTCTTTTTGGTTTGTTTATTTGTGTGTAGAGTTTACGGTCTTTAGAGTATGTCTGTAGAAATTGTCGTTCAACACCTCTGAAGCACGTTTTTTGTAATTTATAAAGCATTAAGCATTATATCAATATGCTTTTTATAATTCTATGAATATTGTTAACATATACTTAGCAGATTTGATGAGACTCCTAAGGAGCTACTGTTTTTTTGGGAAACCATATTGGTATGGATCAAACTTTTCTTGTTTTTTTGTAAATTTTACTATCTTTTTTTAATTATTTTTTGTCATTTTTGAAAATGTATTCAGGACAGAAATTCATGTATAATTGTTAAAGTCCTTTGGTTAGTGTTTTTATATACTGGTATATATTTTTGCTGAGTTTAGTTCTTCAGGGCACACGCCAGTTTCTAGGATATTACAAACATTGATCAAAATTTCTTCTAAAAACTAACCAAAACTAGTGTCTAGATTGAATCCTTACATTCTTCTTCTCGAAACCCTAGATTTATATTAAGATAAATTTTTGAAGCCAGTTCTTTATCCAATTTCTGAGAAGTACGTGTTCAACTCTTCTGTCATTTTTTGTTCATCTTTAATAGTCACTCCTGTCACGCTTTTTATTTCTCTTATTTCCGTCTTTTTTGAGTTTGTCTCAGCTTCATTGACTTACTCTTAAAACCTTAATTTAAACAGTTGCCGTAAAACACCGACCAGTAAGTAAGCTTGACAAGTACATTTTGCAAATACATAGAAACAATTACAATCTCAGAAACGACAAAGATGATCAAATTATATTATTATTATTATCCCGAATTCAAAACAATTAACATTTTTTATCTTGATTTTGAGAAAGCTTCTAACAAAAATCCTTTTCAGGTATTGTTCTCTCTGGAATTCATGGGCAACTTCTAAGAATCAATGCAGATTTCATACAGGAGCGAACGTATGAGGTTTTAACTAATGGGCTTCCTCAAGTTTCTGTGCTTGGTCAGCAATCTTCCAGTAAGCTTAAGTACCAAGAGTCTGATGCTGACATTGACATCATTAAAACATGGGCACAACATAGTCTAATGTCCTTCCTAAATTCTCCACCTAGGGAGGAAGTAATCCTCCATCGCCTACATCATTAGGCCTTTAGAGGTTTGCGATGTAAAAGAACAAAAAGATTAAGCAATAATCATTGCCGAAGATTTTATAACCATAGCTTTTGCGAATCTGACACAAAAGCTATTTGCAAAGCTATACAAGTTCATACTATGTCAATGACACGTATTTGAAAAGCGTATAGAGTCACTAAACTACCTGCATTATTAAAGGACTTGCCCTAAGATAGCACCGCAAGATAGCCTCATAGCAATATTGCACTTGGAATGACCGTTAAGGACACTTCTGTTTTTCCGAAATACTTCGCTTGAATAATTATTTTATAATTCATTCTTTATCTACTTGTTAACTTTATTTGTATATTTAAAGAACAAATAAATCAACAACTTATAAGTCATGTTATATTTGCATGTTTGCCATTTGACATTAGCGCACTAATAGTTTTCAATTGTCTTTCTCATCATTTGGTTTTATAGCCGTAACGAAGTTTTTATAATTCTTTTTAGTTACTTATCGAACTGTGGTATTCTAAAATCATCTTGGATTTTATTGCTACAATAGAACTAGATAAGTTTCGAAGGGTAAAACATAAAATTACTTTCTTAGTCTTAGAGTTGTTAGAATATTTAAAAATCTATTGCTGTCAACTTTAAAGGAAAAGCAAAAACAATATAGAAAAAGCTGAGACGAAGAGGGAGCGTTTTATTTTGGTGTTGGTGTTTTTAACGTATTCCTTGGCGTTTTAAAATCTTGCCAATATTAAATCAGATGTCATGACTCGATGCCGACTAACCAAAAGTTAGTGTCAAATGTGCTTCATAATTCAGAGGTAACACGCGCACGAGTGAAAACGGAACCAAATAGCTACCTTGTATCCAAATCAAAGCCGCCCATGAGAGCCTCTGAATTATCCCGACAATTCCCGTTGTTGTAATCGTCGTAAGTTTCGCAAAGCTGGCTGACAAATCCATCTTCCTGCCCGACGGACTCTGCGTATAAGTCAATAACCCTCATGTGACTGCAGACCGGTAGTAATATGAAACACCCTTCCTGAAGACTTCCGCCGTTGGGCCAGAAATCCGCGTGACCCACATCGAAAGTGACTCCACTTAGGCCAGCGTTGGTGTGGATGGCTTCGACGTACTGCGCGTCAGTAGGATCGAGTCTCCCGTCTGGGTTGTCTTCGAAAAAAAGGGGCCCCGCGGGATCTAAACCTACAATATAGCCAAGGGACCCGTTGGTGCGAGACCCTGCCGCTCCCGCGACATGGGCTCCCAAACTATGACCCACTATGGTAATGTCGGATGACGAATATCTGTCATTTGAAGTCGCGTCGAGGATGAAATCGCCTACGAGCTGACCGACCGCTTTGACGCTACCAGCAGCCGATAGGTAGTCTCCGTTGGACCATTTTTCCCAGCATACACTAACGACATTCACATCGTGATACTTGAGAAGCGCTTCGAGGGTCTGAACTTGAAGTTGTCCGGTTCTGCAGTCATCAATCCAGCCGTGAATTAAGAAGTAGGTCTTCAGGTCCGGGTTGAAGTTGGCTTTCGATTCTAGCACCTGCGCCTCGTCATAGGCAACCAGGGTCCCTTCGGTGTTTTCGCGGTTGTAGAACAAGTAGGTTATATCGGATGGCTGTACGTCGGACAGAGCCCTGCCTGATACCATACCGGATGCCCCAAAAAATCTTCCAATATGAAATGCTGAAAATTAGGGGCGTAATTGTTATTTTGATTTCGGATTCAAAAACTTCTAATATTAAGCACCGCACTAAAAGTGGTGGGTAAAAAATATCGATATTTACAAAAAAATTTAGATACAAAATTTGGTTGGCTCTCGCAAACAGTTGAATTTATCAATTATTTCTAAACAATCAAATTTGAAGAATAGTTTATTAATAAACAATTTATTCAAACCATCAAATAAGAACACAGCAAATAAAGCAAAATAAAATATAAAAATACAATTTTTAAATGTTGAAATATTAAGTCCTGAATACACTGGAATATGCCTAGATTATTTGCTATGATTATGGAGCGGAGAAAATGCAAAATGCAATGCATTTCTGGTCTGTTGTTGCCAAATAAAGATCCTGTTCGGCACTTTTCGAAACGTGTTTATTACATTACAATAGGGCCGACCCAGGTACTTTACCGCTTTCTTATATACATATCAATAGATTCATAGATTTACCCATTACACTGTAGGGTATTCCCAATCAAAGCAAAAAGTTCTTGGTTACATTAATGAAATAATATTACAACAAGAATTGGACAGTCCATGGGGGTGGAAATTTTTAGTATCTTTAATATTGTCCACTTGAAACGTTTTCGTGTGCCTTGTTTTGTAAGGTGACTTGTGTCTGTGACTGTCTGTCCAGTGTTTGTTAAAATGCCGAATACTATGTTCCATATGTCAAGGATAAAGAGCTATGTACCGCTTGTTCGAAAATTGTAAGTAAAACCATATTTTCGCTTCTTTTTCCAGGATACAATAAAACAAGAAAAATGTATGTGTTTCTACTCAATTATTTTATAGTAAAAAAAATAAGATCTATTACCTGTTTTGGTGTAAGAAGATTGCTGCTTTTATAAAGTAAATTATTGGTTGCTAATGTCAACAGTTTTAATGTATTTACAAAAATATTCTATTTGGTAGAAGTAGGATTTTTTCTTATTTCTTTTTTTAACGAATGTGAACCCAAATTAGTTACAGCTTTTTTGGATTTTACAGTTTCATGCGGATAAAAAATTTATTGTGGATCAGCACAAAGGGCGAAAATTGCAACCAGGAGAACCCTCCCAGCAAACAATACACATTGTCTTGAAGCAAATCGAAAAACAGCGAGCACGTCCAGCTAAATACCACAAAAAACTGGACAACCACAATTTAATATCTTATTTGAAAAAATGTAATGTAATTTACAAGCAAATTGTGAACGACATTAAAAAAAAAGTGAGTGAAAATTATTTTTATCTTGTGTTATCTTTTTGTTTGCTATATTTGAATTAGTGAAAAAGTCACACATATCAAAAACTAAAATACTTTCCTATAACTTCTGTAGATGTTGGACGAAGTTTTTCCATTTTTTAACATGTGTTTATAGATAAAAGGCGCAATTTTCTTTTCTCTTCTTAAAATATGAAAAACTTTTAGTCATTAATTTCTTTTGCAAAAAATAGTTTGTAAATTTACGAATTTTATGTTGCGAAAATAGCTATTATCTGAACGTATCAATGTTATTGTTGAGTTATTAATTGCATTATATATTTTTTATAATCGCAAATAATATTTTGTTCACTGTAAGATATTTATGTCTTAGATTTTATGTTTTAAAATTTGTTAAGCAAGTATCTATCATCAAAAACCGATATCTTAGATCTTTGATATCCTCTATACTTAAGCGTATAGGTAACCCTTAAGTTTTTCGCATAATTTTTGAAATACGCGGTACAGATTAACTATGAGTTGACCAGTATAATTTGTGAACTTTACGGCAGAGACTTTATCATTGTTAACATTAACAAATAAAAAAATTAGATAACGTTTATCGCAAATTCTTTTTTTTTATTTTGCAGGTGATTTATACTTTTGGAGTGTTTTGAATTTCAAAATTCCGATAAAAACCAAATATTTACACGTGTTTATTTGTTTCGTTTACCTCAGTTATTAGGGCTTAGTTGCTATCATTCTTCTTAACTACCGAGCTTTTTTGTACAATACCAACATTAATTATGCACCAAACAGGGTATTTATAATGTAATTTTTTAAATTGTACAGAGTGGGTCGAAACGTCATTGACCGTTCATCTTTCTTCTCTGCTCCTCCTTACAAAGATTTAGGAGATCGAAAGTACACGCCTTTTATCAATTAACCAACAAAAAGTAATAAATTTAATATTTTTTAAGCTATCTGTCCAAATTAGACTATAAAGAGGAGAAGCAAAAAACATAAAAACCAAGGGCGACATTTCGAACTACCTTTTGTACTATCAAAACCCTGAATAGATCGGGATTGCTAATAACAAATTCTTTAAATACGCTTACCGTAGGAAGGCGGCGCGAAGGCGCTTGTTGTGAAGAAAAACAGCAGAAATAACACGGTACTCATGGCGTTTGGTATTGAGGAATAATCTAAAAACAATAATAGAATCGGCATTTATATCAAAAACGCGATAATTTCAGAGATATGTTGGGATACGGTAGATAATACTCTGATTTCAATTTGCAATAAATACAACCGAACCACTTACATCATTGAGTTCTACTTCAAAATTCCATCAGGAGTGCCCTTTTCCGTCGTAATAGGGCAAATAGCAGAGTAGACCAAATCAGAGCAAAAAGCTCAAAACTTTTGTCATTTTTACAAATCTAAGCAATCTAAGCTAATCTGCTCACGGCAGTACATATGGTAACGTGCGAGGTCATATTAAATACAGGCAGAAACAATTTGGTAAATTTTTGTTAAATTTACTTAATATCGGTTGGCTCTCGTAACACGCTCCGCTGTTGTCCTGGTTTTTCAATTTTCCCATTTGCTCCATATAATGTAATCAGTTCTTCCTTCTTTTGGATCCCGTTTGACACAACATGCCAACAGCACATAGCAAGATCTTGACTGTCGCTTCCTTTTGAAATTGCAATCTGAGTCCCTCATCTGTAACCTCCCAGACAATCTGCTTCATCCCTTTAACTTTAGCTCTAGCACAAAATACAATTTTCAAAAATGTTTTCATTTATACAGAGTGTTCCGTAAAAGCATAGCAATGATTAGTTGCGGGCATTTCTGAATTCATTCACATATTTTTGGAATTCAGGAATTGGTAGGTTTATATTACTATTACCAAATATAAATAAATAAAGAAAGAGGTTTTTATTTTCGATAAAACGCTTCAGAATCAGGTGACCACCTTACCAGAAGGCAGACTCTAAAAAAAAAACATACAGTACATACACACATATAAAAAAAACGTTTTTCTTCACATTACGTACAAGAAACTTAAGTTGCTGAATAAACTAGAGGAACATTATTTTCAAGAAAATTTAACAAATATAATTTTTATGACACGGGACATTGTTTTGATAACATACGTTTCTCCAGAAGTTGATACGTTGGAAAAATTCATGTATCATCATGTGGCTGTGCCGTATATGTAAAAAATAATATTCAGTGTGAAGCATTAGATCTTGATAAAATTGTGTAGATTTGCATGCCGAATTCTGCGATATTGTGTACCCTACGATCGATACAGTGGTTATAAGTGTTTATCGTTCTGATTCAAAGGGTGTTTTGAATACCTTTTTCAACAACTTAGAAGAGCTTTTGTTTAAAATTTACTCCCCGACGAAAGAAGTTTTTATTGTTGGTGATTTTAATGTAAAATTTCATTTGGGTAACGACGACAATCAAAAAGAATTATTGAACATCGTTTGGCATGCATGAGACCATTCACGATAACACTAGAATAACAAATTCTTGTGCCAACTGCATCGACAACATCATGGTTAATGTGTCTGATGCGGGTTATGTCTCGGGGGTTATCGAGACGGGTTTCTCTGATCACTCTGCGGTATATATTGTCTTCTCCACAATTTTACAAAAACAGACTCAGAAAACTTATCATAACTTCATTACAGAGAGAGCACTTAACAATTTGTCTGAAAGATTCTCGAATGCCGACTGGCGGAGGTGTCTTATCTCTGAGTGAGCCGCCTCATGCAAATTCTCAATTGTGGAATGGTTGTAGAGCGGCACTCAGCACCGGAGAGGTCGGGATCGCCTCTAGTGTGGTACAACAACTATTTGAGAGCTCTGTGAGATAGAGTAGTATCAACAAAAAATTCGTTTAGAATAACTGGTGATTCTCGATTATGGCATGAATATAAACATTTAAATAGAATTTACAAGAAAGAAGTTAATCCACTAAACCGCCTCTTATGGCGACTACATTGCAAACTCTAGCAACTTAAGCAAGCAAGTTGTTGGAAACTAATAAATAAAAACAACAAAAATCTTCAACTCAACTCAGTCTTTTTCTCGGAGATCACGTATAGTATCACCAGTGGTGTACATAAAACCAGTGACCCTTCCATTTTTCTTAAACAGATTATAAATCCTTCTTCTTCTTGTTATTTGTCACCGGCCACAGAACTTAAAATTGAGCATAATATTCTCTCTCTTAGTGGTTCTTCTCTCGATGTTTACAGCATCAATTCCAGGGTTCTGAAACATATGCTGCCTATTATTAAGGGTGCCTATTATCCAATGCGATCCAAATAATTACCGTCCAATCGCAATAATCCCGGTTCTGGACTATTTCGAGAGCAAGAATTTGTTCAGCAGTCCTCAATTTGGTTTTCGTAAGGGAAATCTACTACTCTTGCTCTTGTGGACTTTGTCGTGAAGGTGGCACTTGGTCTTGATAGCACTGAGGTGGTAAGAGACACATTGTTTGACTTGACTAGGGCTTTTGAATGTATTGATCACAATGTATTGTATCGGAAGTTGGAGTGGTATGGTGTGAGGGGCACTCCGCTAGAATTGCTTAAGTCTTACCTGAACAATAGATCTCAGTTGGTCGAAATCAACGGAACTAGGAGCGACCAACTTCCCGTCAGGTATGGTGTTCCGCAAGGCTCTATCCTAGGCCCCCTACTTTTCGTTATATACATTAATGATTTCACCTTAAACATCCCCCATCACGTTACCGATACTGCCCTCCTTATAAGGGGAAAGAATACCATTCTTCTGGCGGAAGAGTGTGTCCGCGCAGAGGAAGTCGCGGAGACCTGGTTCGAATGCAACAATCTTGTTTTTAATTCACAGTCCAAACACGAATTTTAGATCAAAATATGTTTTATTATCTACCTATCTATATTTACGTTTTCTGTTAAATTTTGGATTCCATCCATTTTGCACTTTATAATTTATGTATTGTACCTTTATAGAGTATGTCTATTGTATATTTTGTCATATTGCTTTCACGCATGGAATTATTTTTCGCCTATGTCGTTTTGTTATGTAATTAGACTACATGGAGAATGGTTATTACAAAGGAGTAATAACTGCAAGCTTATATAATTAATATTGTAGACTTCATCAAAGGATACTAAATGGAGACCATCTCTGAAGTGTTGTAAATCAAAATTTTTAAAATCTCTCACTGTTTAAAAGTTGACGGGACAGGCTTGTTATGCCATGCATGAAGAATGCAGTAGATAGGTTCGTTGTCGACAGAAATGTTACCTGTAGAATGGCTTTAAACGTGTTAAGAAAGTTATTTATAAGGAAGTCGGAGGGTACGCATGCTTTGCAGACTTCTAACCAATCTTTCTTAAGCTTGAATATTGATCTAAAATAATAAATAATAGTCCGGCTGGCATCAAAAAATCACTCGCTAAAATTGGATCCGACCGATGTCTAGCCGAGAGATATCTAGCCAATTCGCGATGTAATACAACAAACCTTATCTTTATTTATCGACGTCACCGAAATTTACGGCCAGTTTTGGTCACCGGGTCTCGCGGGCATCCGGCTTGAATTATGGCGCCCTTTGGATGCCGCTGCAACATTAACTTCGACGCAAAGGAATGGCGTTTGTTAATAATTTATAATGGGCAACGGGAATGTCGTAAGTTCGTCGTCATCGCTTGGAAGGTTCGTTTCTTGTCGTTTTGGTGGGAAATGGAAATCGATATGTATGGGGAAACCTTAACGAAAGTGGTAAAATTAGTGTTATATTAGAAAAAAAAAACAGCAACAGGAAATGCAAGACTTGCATAAGATAATGACTTACGTGCTGTACTGAACTCTTAGTAATACATTAGAATATTTTAGAGTCCATTTTTGATAATATAAAGAGTGGGCAGAGACTTATATGAGATTATGGGAAAGCATGTTTTATGAAATATTTTCTACTTGTCTGTGTGGACTATTCATATATGCAAAATTTATACGAGCATCTTCTTCTTCTTCTTCTTCTTGGGGTGCCTATTCATTCCGAATGTTGGCGACTAGCATGGCTATTCTTACTTTGGTGGCGGCTGTGCCGAACAGTCCACTGATGGTCATTTTAAATTATTTTCTTAGGTTTTGAAGCCCGGAGATTCGTCTTCGTCCTCGTCCCCTCTTGGCATACACTATTCCTTGTAGAAATTAATTGGAGGAGGCTATATCGTAGTTAGTTTCTCATCTCATCTCAGTTTACCTTTCTTAATTGCTGTAACAACTTCGCATTCCTTTTCTATTCTGCGTATTACTTCATTATTTATGACTCGGTTGACTCAGGGGGTTGTTAGGAGAGCGTCCAAGCCTCCGCTCCGTATAATAGGACTGAAAAAGTATAGCACTGTAGCACGAAGCGGCAAGTCGTGGCTTTTAAAGAAGGTGCTTATCTATATAAATGCGGTATTGTCTTTTGCTATGCGTTGTCTTATTTCCAAGGAGTGATCCCATTGACTGTTTACATTCGTGCCAAGATGCTTTCAACGCTGGACTTTTGCTAATGACTATATATTTTGTCTTCTTTGTGTTCATGTCTAATCCGCAATGTTGGCTAATTTCAGTTATACATGTCATCAGTGTTTGTAAGTCTTCTAGACTGTCTGCGAATATGCCTTCGTCGTCTGCGTATCTGATGTTATTCAAACGTTGGCCGTTAATTAGTATGCCTTGATCACATTCCTCTAAAGCTTGTTTGAATATATGTTCGGAGTAAACATTAAACAGCATGGGGGACAGTACACAACCTTGTCTCACTCCACGCTCTATTGAACATAAAAGATTACTCTACTCTACTCTTTTGTTAGCGTTTGGGTTATAGTAAATATTTTTGATGATTTTCAAATCCTTATAATCTATGCCTAACTCTTCTGGCAGTCCGTAGAGCATGCATATTTATTTATAGATATATACAGTTGACTGCACCTGCACTCTGGAACTAGACCTCGATAGTAAAAAGTACTTTTCGTGTACTCAGTGTTATTTGTTCTCGCTTGTGGATGATATTTAGAAAGGTCTTAAGTACGTGGCTCATAAGACTTATAATTCTATATTCATCACACTTTTTTGCATTTGGTTTCTTTGGTATACATTTTATTCCGTTATCATCCATTAACTTTAAAAATTCTG